AGATTCCGGCGCTAAACAACCTGGAGAGGTTCCTTTTCGTGACCGGGCTCGGGTTGCACCACCCCCACGATTACGGCGTCAACGTCATGTCCTGGGACAATGTCGAGAAGCACAAGCTCCCGGTGCACACCAGGTTCGGAAAAATAGTGGAGGTGGGGGGGGGGGGAGGGGGGTACTCTTATGTTTTGCATGCCTTAGTTATTGGACCATTTGACCACGTGTCTTCAAGAGGACGGGGAAATGTTCCCACGCGACCGATCAACGATGGCAAATAGTGGCGGGCGGGGGAGTCCTTGGCACACACCCAACGGCCTCGATTGCCTCTGTCCCGCTTGTGGGTTGTGGAAAGCGAAGCTGCTTTCTTGAGATATTTGTCTCGGATGCACGGGGCCCCCTCCACCGACGCCCAAGGCCGCGCCAGTTTCGGTATACCCGCCAAGTGCTGTGAGCAATCAGATGGTAGCGTTACACCCCCCCCCCCTACCTCCTTTGTATTCCTCGTAAACTCACACCGCCGCCTATACCATACTCTCCTTCCTCCTCCGCCTCCCAATCTACTGCTCCTACAAGGTTCATGGTCTATAGTCAACTGCAGTTTCTTCGTTTTGCTGGAAGGCCGCCCGCAACACATTTTTGGGTTACGACTTTTCTCTCTCTCCATGTTTTTTCTCGACTACTTCGTCTACGCCATGCTCGTTGCTCACCTCCCTTTGTCTGACTTCTGCTTTTGTTTTGTTTTGTCTTGTCTCTTTTTCTGTGTCAATGTGACGAAGGACGTCAACGCGGCACGCCTCCTGCCCGCTGGGGAACTCTCCGTTCTCCCGGTCTAGCTATGTTCCCGCCAAGATGTGCCGGCTCAATATCTGGCTCATGTCCCCCAGCGTGGTGTTTGACGAGGTGCCGGCACAGGTGATGCCAAAAAAAGTTGTCGTTGCTCTCGTGCTTGTTGTTGTTGTTGTTGTTGTTGTTGTTGTTGTTGTTGCTGTTGTTGTTTTTTAGTCCCTTAGTCTCAAGGCCTCAATACCACGTTGCGGAAAAAATTGTTGTCGGGGGCAACTAGTCTCCTCATTTTTCTTTTTAAGTCTTGCACGCTCACGCAGCCATGTGAAAACGGCAAGAAAGAGAGATTGTGCGGTGAAAACCGATCAATAACTAGCTGGACGGCATTGCGATAGCAGCTTAAACCCACGCAGGTTGGTTCTGTAAACGTGAAACTGAAAACGTGACGCCGAAAGGGTTATACCGACAAGGGCCGAAAAGGTTAAGCCGAACAGATTAAACCGAAACCGAAAAGGTTGAGTCGAAAAGGTTAGACAGAAAATGACAAGTCGACAAGGTTAAGCCGAAACCATGAACCGAAAAGGATAATCGGAAAACGTGAAACCGAAAAGGTTTTAAACCGAAAAGGTTAAAAATGATTAAACCGAAACCAAACGGGTTAAACCGAAAAAAACAAAAAATTGAAGCCGAAAACATTAAACCGAAAGGTTAGGCCGAAAAGGATAAACTGAAAAGGATAACGGAAAACGTGAAACCCACAACGCGAAACCGAAAAGATGAAACCGAAAAACCGTGAAAGCTAAGCCGAAATGGTGAAACCGATTACGCTATGTCGAAAACGTGAACGTGAAACCGAAGAGGTTAAACCGAAAAGATTGGAAGATTATACCGAAACCGAAAGGGTTAAACCGAAAAGAACGAAAAAGTTAAGCCGAAAACGTGAAACCGAAAAGGTTAAGCCGAAAAGGACACCAAACGTAAAACATAAAACCGAAAACGTGAAACCGAACAGGTTAAACCGAAAAGTTTAAACCGAAAAAACGAAGAAGTTAAGTCGAAAAAGGTAACCCCGAAATGGATAAACCGAAAAGGATAGCAGAAAACGTGAAACCGACAACGTGAACGTGAAACCGAAGAAGTTGACCGAAAAGATTGAAAGATTAAACCGAAACCGAAAAGATTAAACCGAAAAAAACGATAACGTTGTGTCGAAAACGTGAACGTGAAACCGAAGAGGCGAAAAGATTGAACGACTAGGCCGAAAACGAAAGGTTAAACCGAATAAACCGAAAATGTTAGGCCGAAAACGTGAAACCGGAAAGGTTAAGCCGAAGGGGATAAACCGAAAAAAACGAAAAAGTCAAGCCGAAAAGGATAAACCGGGAACGAAACCGAAAACGTGAAACCGAAAACGTGAACGTGAAACCGAAGAGGTTGAACCGAAAAGATTAAAAGATTACAAACCGAAACCGAAAGGGTTAAACCGAAAAGGTTAAACCGAAAAAACCGAGAAGGTTAAGCCGAAAACGTGAAACCGAAAGGTTTAGCCGAAAAGGATAAACCGTGAACGAAACCGACAATGTGAAACCGAAGAGATTAAACCGAAAAGATTAGACCGAAAAAACCGATCAGTTACGTTGAGCCGAAAAGGTGAAACCGATTACGTTATGCCGCAAGCGTGAAACCGAAAAGGTGAACGCGAAACCGAAGAGGTTAAACGGAAAAGATTAAAAGATTAAACCGAAACCAGTAGGATTTAACCGAAAACAACGACAAAGTTAAGCCGAAAAGGTCGAGCCGAAAAGGTTGAGCCGAAAAGGATAACGGAAAACGTGAAACCGAAAACGTGAAACCGAAGAGGTTAAACCGAAAAGTTAACCGAAGAGATTAAACCGACAAAGTGAAACCGAAAACGTGAAACCGAAAAGGTTAAGCCGAAAAGGATATGGCCTATTATTAACGACAAAAAGAACACGGAAAATTTCACGGAAGCGTGCTTTCTTGCAAATATATGGAGGCGTTTCCCCCCCGATCCGTGAAAGTAGCGAGCAGTTTTTTGGGGGGGCTTGCTGCTTCACGGATCCGGGAAATTTGACACAAGGGTCGGGCAGGGAGGGGCAGGCGCACCGCGGGCGCTGTAACATCACTGAGAACCCTCGCAAGACCTGCTAGACTCACGTCCAGGTCTGATGTGGAGACGGACAAGCGGCAGAAGCCGCGTTCAGTCCGTTCTTGGCCTAAAACTAGGCATTGCGTGGTGCTCTCGTCTTCAACTGCTGCTGCTGTTGGTGCTGGGGGATTTTTTTCAATCACACACAGCAAACACGGAAACAGTAGAACGAGTACAGCAGCAGCACCAAGACCTCCAACGCGCTGATTCCTTCGGTTCGGCTGTCTATATGATATTCACTCCCGGCGCCGTGCTGCTTCGTGGGTATTGGGTGCTTGGGTGCTGCTCAATAAAGTGTGTGAGAGACGTGTGCCACCTCACCAAAATGCCGTTGGAAAAAATGCGGCGAGATGATCTGTTTTTGGTCGGACGCATCAACATCAATCCACGGCACCACGCAGCAGTAGAGCAACAGGGCCTCCGACACGCTAATTATTTCGGATTGGCCATCTACATGATGCTGGCCGTCAGCGCGGCTGCCGCCCTATGATTGTTGAGCTCGTCTACCTTTGGGCAGGTGGTGGTCAAAGATGGGAGTCGCAACCGTGCAAAATGAGCCGGCAAACTGAAGAAATCGCAAGCAACACCCAGGTGGCGACACTCTGCCCTGCGCCTGTTGTTGCTGAAACTGAAAACAGCAGGCCGGGTGGACGGAGTCTTTCTAAGTGTCTTGTCCTTTGTGTCGGGTGCTGCTCATTGCGCTTTTTTTACCGCTGCTCAATGTGAGCAAAACCAGGTCAACCTGTTGTGTGTCGAGCAAAACGTGTATTCAGGGAAGGAAACGTACTTTTTGCGATGACATCACGAATAGAACAAGCGACAAATAATCGGGTCTTCTTTTCACGGTTCCGTGAAAAAATGCTTGAATTTTTCGTTGCGTTAATAATACCCCTAAGCCGAAAACGTAAAACCGAAAACGTGACCCCGAAAAAACCGTGAAAGCTAAGCCGAAAAGGTGAAATTGATTACGTTGTGCCGAAAATGTGAAGCTTGTATCGTCGCGAGATCCCCCCCCCCCCCACACCACGCGCCGATTGTAATTAGGTACTGCCACAACACCAAAAACCTTGATTACACTGCAAGACAGGCATTGTCGAATAAAAAAGGCGGCGCGCCAACTCGTGCCGTT